GTAGACCTTTACAAGTATGTGACTCTCTCCCAGCAGCATAATGTGCTGTGTGTGTGTGCACACTCAACTCTGTTTATGTCTAGCCTCTTGCCAAGAGTACAGGATGACAGAGATTAATGGGCAAAGGCCACTGAACCCAATCAGTGATGAGGCAAGCATTCACGACTGAAATAAGTCTCTGTGTCATGATTTGGGAGCTGGTTGGTAGCCTAAAGGAAAGCCTGCTACGTTTGGTGTTCCAATATGGACCTGAGAAAGCTGAGGGGGGAGAGAGAGAGAGAGAGAGAGAGAGAGAGAGAGAGAGAGAGATACAGTTCCTTTAAGAGACTCTGCCATATAACAAGCACTTGAATAGCCAGCAAGCTAAGTAAAAACGTCTGACATTATGTGGACATTAGCTTTCTAGAACTGGAGTATTGAATGCAACTCCTGGTTAGATGCAGCTCCCAGTTGAATGCAGCTCTCACCAGGCTTGTGGGATGTAAACCTCGACTTTCACAGACCCAGTTAGCACCAACCTGCTTAGTAGTTTATGGTTTGGCTTACATGGTCAGAAAAGGCTAGGGACACACAGTAAAGGCAGATCCAGATGAAAATACCCTCTAAACTGGTTATAGTGTGTTTAAAAATGTGCGTAGTTTTTGGTTGTGAGCCTAGCCTTTAACAGCTGAGCCGTTTAAAAAAGACCTGGGCAGTGGTGATGCACGCCTTTAACCCCAGCACTCGGGAGGCAGAGGCACGTGGATCTCTGTGAGTTCAAGGCCAGCCTGGTCTACAAGAGCTAGTTTCAGGCTCCAAAGCTACAGAGAAACCTTGTCTCAAAAATACAAAAATAAACAACAACAACAAAAAACAAAAACAAAAAAGAAAAGAAAAGAAAAAAGTGCATAGTTCACTTCAGGAAGAGAGAAGAAAAGAAAGGGGTATAGATAGTCATAGAAAAAAATGAATAGTTTTAAAATAGTAATAAAGTCTTGAAAGAGGGAGTAAAGTAATATAAAGGAGAAAAAGCTCTGTAAGGATGGGACATACACAGGGAGTCTGGATCCTGTATGGTGTTGTGTTGACTTTGAACTTTGTGAATGCTAATAAGTGATTGACGGAGGGACATGGGATGGTTAAAGGGACTGCTGAATTAAACTAGCCTAGATACGCTAGGGATGGCTTAACTTCATAATGGACATCAGAAAATGTTTTGTGTTGGGGGAAGATATTATGCCTTTGTTTACAAAGGAAGCAAAAGGCTGTGGATTTCTTCGAGGTTAACAGAGATCAGGCTTGATCAGGGGAGACCTGAAAATCCTGGCTGCAGACATAAAAAGATAAACCAGGAAAAACGACAAGACAGGTGGCATAAATACCAAGCCATCTGCATGGGGACAGTTGTGAGACTGGACAGCAAATGTTACAACTGGATTTCCCAGGACTTGACCATTGTCTCTATTTTCTCAGGGTTCGCTAAAGATGCCACTACCCTCAAACAACAGGGAACCATCTAGAGAACACAATGTCCACATTCTCAAGAGAGGGGTGGGTGGGTTTTGGTCATTTGGTGGGTTATGGATATTTGTCACCATTTAGGGGGATATAGGAATATAGTACAAAAAGACAATTATCAACCTTAAATATTTTTACGTTGGTTTGGATTTTGGTATATTGATACAAATTTAAAGTTATTTTTTTGTTATAGTGTATGCATGTTTCTACTCTTTTGGGGGTATTGTGTTTATGCAGCTCATTTAAAAACATAAAATTAAGAAATACAGGTTAGTAGTTAGTCATCTATAATAAGCAAATGTGTAATTGTGTTAGGTATGTTTTCAAGGTTAAACAGATATATTTTAGATAGATAGATGATCTTTAAACACTCCCGAGACCCATATAATATGGCATTTAGGATGTTTGATAGTCTAAGGCTTTTCATGACAGTGAGACACTTCTGCTCCTGGTTGCACTCATCTGCTTCATAAAAGGATATCGATATTGAAGAAGCTCCTCTTGGAGTTTGCTTTCATTGTGACAAAACTAGACATTTGGGCCAGAAACTGCTCTTGCCTTGACTGCTGACAGTATGCTGTACAAAGTGCACAAGCAGGACACAAAGTAAAAAGTGCTGAACTTTGTGAGGACAAGGCAGGAAAAGAAGTCTGCCAGATACACCAGGTCTGTAGGTCAAAGACTGATGTGTCAACTTTGCAAAGGAAACTTGGGTGACTGTCCAGGCAGCCAGATGTCTCTGTCACTTCTGTAGTTTTAGAAGTGGCTTGTACTACACTTCCTGTTTACTCAGGTAATATTATATCCTTCTGGGCTTTTGATGGATTTGAAGACTAGATAGTTATAGTTACAGTTTTCCTTAGTTATGACAGAAGGTAAATTGGGTACAAAACTTTGAACTCACCAAGATAGGATAGATAATAGAATAAGTTCTCTGAATTTGTCAAATACAAATGGACTGGATATTACAAATATAATTCTTACTTGATAACTGTTCTTATTATATATAGTTTTACTATATTAAAGTTAAAACCTTTTCTTTTTATTTAGACAAAAAGAGGGACATATCAGAGCTCAAAATATGTGGAATTAGTTATTAGTAGGTTCTAACCCCATTTTGGTTGTCAAACAATTCTTCAGTGGGAAGGATATAAGTTAGATTTCATTCTGTTTTGACAGAATCCATGCAAAATGGGAAAATTTATTTGCTAGTCTACTTATGCGTAAGACTTGAGGGGAAGGGGAGTATATCTCAATCAGCTGGTGAACCCCATGGTGCATTTATAAGGCAGATTTTTCATACTCTAATTGCTCTTCAGACCAAAAATATTAGACTAGCATTCCTCAAGCACATTGCTTGACATAGGAATTCTATGAGGGAAAATTGGGATTCTGGGTAAAATCAATTAGTACGTTAAACTCAGTACTAACCTTCATAGAACTAATTTTTTCATGTAGAACTAACTTTTCTCTTAACGATAACTTTGTATATTATAATTTTCTAATTAGTTTTCTTAGCCTTTGGAGTGAGAGGAAAACTAAGAAGAAGAGATGCTACGAAGTTGAAATTTAATTTTGTAATTAAAGTCAGCTTCACATTTGCTCCAGTGATATAGCCTCTTCCTTCTGCGGCTACCCACTTCCCAAATCACATTTGTCGTTGTTGTGGTTTTTAAGCAGTGGCTGTCCTGGAACTCACTCTGTAGACCAGGCTGACCTTGGACTCAGAGATCTGCCTGCCTCTGCCTCCCAAGGGCTGGGACTAAAGGTGTGCACCACTGCCTGGCTCCAAACCTCATTATTGATCTCCTCTGCCTTTTAGTTGATCTGAATGCATCCCTAAGATGTCCATTTCTCCCACCCCTAATACTATCTCTATCACACATGGCATCATTTTCTTCAGCCTTATCGACTACAGTGGCCTTCCTGACTACCATATTTGCTTCTGTTATTCCTTATAATCCTTTCTCTACACAGTAGCCAGAGAGCTATTGAAAATACTAGTCCAACTTTTCTAAAGGCTTCTGTTGATATGAGATATAAAACTCAATTTTCTTCAGGTCATAAACTCTCAGTGGTGCAGGCCCTGTAACTTCTCTATCCATCTCTATCTCACATGCTTCTTCCTGTGTGCACTATAAACATTTCATCCACATCCCTTTATGTCTCCATGCAATTAAACCAAGTCCCACGTAGGTAGAAACAGATGAACCCACAGGCACTGAGTCCAGCCAATTGTATCTGGCTTTGATGCTGAAATGCAGAGTGGACATAACCATGCAAGCTATGCTTATTTCTTCCAAGTATGCTATGCATTAACCTTACTCAAGAGTTATAAATTTTGGCTCCAAGAAATATTTCAAACCCAAGAATCTGCATTTTGTCACGTACCTCCGAACAACTTGATGACCTGATTTATATGCTGCAGTAAAACACAACGGGCTGCTTTGAAGGGAAGGGGACCGAACTGTGTAGACCCAGTGTTTGCCTTCGGGCCAGGAGTGCTCCCTGCACACAACAGTGCTCCCTGCACACAGCAGTACTCCCTGCACACAGCAGTGCTCCCTGCACACAGCAGTGCTCCCTGCACACAGCAGTGCTCCCTGCACACAGCAGTACTCCCTGCACACAGTAGGTGTTTGGAAACAACTCATTATTCGAACTAAAAGTTTGCTGCCATGTAAATTTTGCATCGCCGTAGCCCGTGCTGAGATGACATTTATCACCAGCATCTCTTTGTTCGTCTCTGCCCTCCCCACATCTACCACAACCTGACATTTCTGTTGCCCCTGCAATTGGATTCCCTGAGAGCTTTCCACTCCTTCTTTCGTTTTTCTATTCACTGTGACCACACATCCTGCTGAAAGGGCTCGGTGCAAGTATTTTCCCAATACTTTTACCATCTGTACACAGAGGCTCTCAAAATCTCACTGGCGTTGTTTTCACACCTCCTCCCGAGAGGGAAAATGCCAGCAGAGATATGAAAATTGCTTGTGAGTCCTACTTGGGGCAGATAAGAAGGTTCTTTGAGAACCAGTCTGGACATAAATGGGTTTGTATTCCATATCTCTTTAAAGAGAAATCTGGTTTTGTTTAGACCCTATGTTAAATTTAGCATCTGTTCTCATGATCCATCAAACTTATTAGCCGAGAGATCAAAATATCAAAATAGGTATTCCTGTTTGGAGGCATGCTGTTTAACAACAGCGGTACCTTCCCTGCCTGTGGGCCTGTCCAGTGTCTGCTTCTGGGGTTTCCTAAAAACCAATCAAATATCCCCCACATCCAGTGAGCCCCAAGGAATATAAGGGAGACACATTATGTGAGTGATGGCCTTCCATGGCCACTTCATCTCAGCCTGGTGGCTCCCCTGCTTTTGGCCTTTCTTTAAGTAAACTCCAACCGATAAACTGTTTTCTTCGTAGTCCATCCTGCCCATGGCTGGGCACGGGAAAGAACTGAGAACCACAGTGCAATCAAGGCATTTCCAAACACAAAAGGGATCCGGTTACACTTCATTTGTTATTTTTTGGGTGAGGGACAGACCCCACTCTTGAAGACATCCTTGACAGGAAAACAGCTTTGAAAGGACATGTATGAGTCAATGAGTAAACACTCTGCATTTGTAAGGTGTGGTCAAGCGTCCATCTGTTTTTCGTCTTTTCCATCAGGATTGCCTGCCTGTCAAAAAAAAAAAAAAAAAAAAAAGCCTTTTGAGCATCATTCTGATCAGCAATAACAGCAGAGTGATATTTGCTGAGTACTTACTGTCTGTCCACACCCTTCCAAGCTGAGGTGAGTCCACTGGCCTCCTTATGCCGCGAGGAGGCACTTTATCGTGGGGAAGCTGTTCTCCAACATTCTCAGAATTAAGCATCTAGGGGGAGTGTCCTGAATGCACATTGCTTTAGGGGTCAGGATGTGTTTAGGGAGGGATGGGAATTTGAGATTTTCACAAGCTCCTGGTATGATTCAGCTGTGATATGCCATCCTTTGAAAAACACCTTTTAGGATATTGGTCCGGGGTAGGGAGGCTCTTAGATATCACTGTATATCTTGTGTTTGTAGGTAATATTCTAGGATATCCATATGCAAATCCATCTATCTAAAGCTACTCATGACTTGCTTTTGAACCTTAGAGATGTGTTCCTATTCTTCAGCTATTGCAAGTGGTAGTAGGCCTCTGTGAGCAGTGGTGATCTAGCTGTGAGGTCACCATCAGGGGCGGGGGTGGGAGTGGGTGGGACACGGGAACAACACACTGATCCCAGCAGCCCTCCGAGCCAGTCATCTGAGTTGGCATATTGAGCGGTTTCCTCTCTAGAAAGGAATGCCCATTCGCATCTCACAGAACAACAACAACAACTCCAAGGCTGTTGGCTGAAGTCACCTGTCCCTGCATTGCCGCCCGTCCTCACTGTGGGTCAGGTTATAATTGTGTTGGTGCTGGGTCATACCCTAGGGGATCTGCTGGTGATTGTCTTTCTACCCTCGCCCCGGCCTTCCCGATGGTGTGAAGTGGCACTGGCGAACAAAGTCTTTGGAGTAAGTCTGTTCCTCTGGGGCTGGCGCTCTGCCCAAAGCTCCGGCACTGAGAAAACAGACCCAGATTCAAAGTTAAACATTCATAAAAATCGGAACCGCGGCAATTTTGACACGTTGCCAACTTGTTTAACCTCCCCCTCTCTGTCGTCTCTCTCTCTCTCTCTCTGAAAAAGGCTCCCTGGAGTTAGATGTTTCATATACAGTTGGAGCCTTGGGGTGGGCCTCTTTGCTAATGATAGAATTTCACCCGCCCCCCACCCTGTGGTCATTTCTACCCTTGGCACCATATGCGGCTAACAGGAGAGGGGGCATAAATTCTTCTGGCGTATTTTCAGAAATAGGGCTCCCAATTTGTCAGGCCAGGGCTTTCCATGTGGCTCTATTCCGTGTGAGCTGATGCTTAAGAGTTCTGGAAAGGACGGCTTTGACGTGCTGTGGTGTCTTTGGGACACAATTCCATGGAAGAGGTTTCCCGCCCCTTCCCGTGACTGGGCCGCAGCTGCGCAGTGCTGTGGGACCTCCCTCTAGTGTCCGTGAAGTTAGGGCCACTGGAGAGTGAGTGTGGCCGACGGTACCCTCGCTTGCCCACGGGTTTCTGAGGACATCTGTAAATCATTGTGTTAAATCCAAAGGCACACTTATCACAGCCAGCCTCTCGTTGAGTCTATTTCCTGTTGTGAAGGTTTCCTTAGCATGGCGCATTGCTGATGAAATACCAGCTGCTTTAAGTGGCTCAGAGTTATAGACCCTTGGACCAATTATCTTGCCATTTTACCCAATTTCTATGTAATTGAGGTTACACCACCTCCTATGTAAACTCAAGGCTTAATTTTTGCCCCTGCTTTGCATATTTAATTTGTTTTTCCAGTGGAACCGTTGATCTCTAATGCTATTAAACTTCATCAAGCTTTGTAACTGGACCAAACCAGAAATATTGTTGATAACGGCCAGAAAGTAAGTATGAATTACCTGAGACTCACACTCTATGATAATTCATTTAATTTTTAGTACTCCTAGCCTCTTTAAAAGCAAAGTAGTGGAGGCGAAAGAACAAAAGTAAGCAAGCAAAATCGGCACTGGATGTGATGTGACAGTCCCCGGCTAAGGGATGGGCTGATGGGACAGGAACAGCAGCTTCCTGAATGTGTGTGTGTGTGTGTGTATCTGTGTGTGTGTCTGTGTTTATCTATGTGGGTGTGTGTGGGTGTCTGTGTGAGTGTGTATCTGTGTGTGTATCTCTGTGTGTGTGTCTGTGTGTATATTTGTGAGTGTGTGTATCTGTGTGTATGTCTGTGTTTATCTATGTGGGTGTCTGTGTGTGTATGTGTGAGTGTGTGTATCTGTGTGTGTGTCTGTATGTGTCTGTGTGTATATGTATCTGTGTAGATGTGTATTTGTGTGTGTGTGTCTGTGTGTATATGTGTGAGTGTGTGTGTGTCAGTGTGTATGTATGTGGGTTTGTGTGGGTGTCTGTGTGTATATGTGTGAGTGTGTGTATCTATATGTGTCTGTGTGTATATGTGTGTGTATGTGTATCTGTGTAGATGTGTATTTGTGTGTGTGTGTCTGTGTGTATATGTGTGAGTGTGTATATCTGTGTGTGTCAGTGTGTATGTATGTGGGTTTGTGTGGGTGTCTGTGTGTGTATGTGTGAGTGTGTGTATCTGTGTGTGTGTCTGTATGTGTCTGTGTGTATATGTGTGAGAATGTGTATCTGTGTAGATGTGTATTTGTGTGTGACTCTGTATCTGTCAGTGTGCACATGCATGCATGTGCAGTCATACAAACAAATGGGAAAGGCCAGAGGTTAACTTCAGGTGTTGTTGCTCAGGTGCTGTACCCTCCCCCTCCCCCTTTCTTCTGAGATAAGATCTGTCACTTGACTTGGAACTTGCTGAGTAGGCTAGGCTGACTGGCATGGAGCTCCAGGGCTCCCACCATCCCTGCCTCCCCAGCACTGGGGTTGTAAACATGTATCACAAGTCTGGCGCTTTTTTTTTCTTTTTAAGTAAGAGTGCTGCCATGATAAGCGCTTCCCTGACTGAGCTCCTTCCAGCCGGTGGCAGTAGAAAGTCTACAGGGATGGTTGAGAGACACTCAGACCCGCAAATGACTGAACTGGTTTGCCTAAACAGCAAAGCAGCTAGACCAGTGTCCAAGAGCGTTCACGGCGCAGGGACATCTGTGTGTCCTGTACTGATGGAACAGAACGAATATTTCCGCACAAGTCCCGCGATACTCCTGGGGACGCTCCCCCGCTCTGTGCCGGAAGACGGGCTGCTCGCTACCTAGGGCCGACCTAGTGCTTACTTGGCAAAGGGCCCAGTCTGTCTCTCTGAAATTTCACCCATTTCCTTAATTACTGAATCAGCACTCGCGGAGCACTTTGCCCACCCTGTGCTGACTACACATGGTTCTTGTCGTGGGGGTCTGGGCTACTCCGCTGTTCCTCAGCTGCTTTTGTTAGTCTTCCTTAAGTGAGCTTTATTGTTTTTCTCCCCCAACTACCCCTCTATTCCATGAAAACACAAGACCATAGATACACTTTGTATTCATCGATGTGGTACACGTACCTGTGTTCAACTTGTGTGTGTGTATGTATGCGTATGTGTTTTTACATTAAAGGTATTATTCCAAGCCAGGCTAAGTGCTCACACCTGTAATACCAGCACCCAGGAGGCTGAGGAGGGTCATGAGTTGAAAGTCTCCCTATATTTACACTCTGAGTTCCAGGCCAGCTGGGGCTACATAGTGAGATTCTGTCCCTATCAAAACAAAACAAGTGTTATTGTATAAACCGATGTCTCAGTTTTACGGGGCCAGAGGCAGCATCCTTGCTGTTAATGCATTGTCGAGTGGGGACCACAGACACAGGCAATTCGTTAGATCTTGGTGTGGATGCCACATGCGCTCTGCCCCGCTTCTTTTGTTCCCGCTCACTACACATACATCCTGGAAGGTGATACTTCACGTCTACCTCATTGTCACCTGGGCTACTTACAGTGGGAATGATGTCCGCCCTGAAGGTGTGCACACCCAGGACTGCAATGAAATTTTGTTTGGAAAAAAAGCCATTGCAGATGTCATTAAGGATCTTGAGGCAATGCTGTCCTGGATTATTCAAATATGACCTAAGTCTTTTGAACAGGCATTCGTATTAGAGGAAGGCAGAGGGGAGGTTGGTTGGGTCAGACACAGGCAAAGGCCATGTGAAGATGGAGATCGAGACTGGAAACACGTGCTGCAGTTAAAGGACGCTGTGCAATGCCAAGGGATGCCCAGCATTACCATTCCAGTGGGGGAGATTCTCCCTTAGAGCCCCAGAGAAGAGCGTGTCTGCTCCAAGCTCTGATGTGGACATCCAGTCTCCAAAGGCTCAGCATCTGCCTTCTGAACAGC